GGCCCATCGATCCAGCCTGTCCAGATCCCTCTGCAGAGCCCTCCTACCCTCCAGTAGATCAACACTCGCACCCAACTGAGTGTCATCTGCAAATTTACTGAGGGAGCACCCGATCCCCTCATCCAGGTCATCAATAAAGATATTAATCAAGACCAGCCCCAGAACTGAGCCCTGGGGAACACTGCTTGTAACCAGCCACCAACTGGATTTAATGCCATTCACAACTCTGAGCTTGGTCATCCAGCCAGTTCTTTACCCAGCAAAGAGTACACCTGTCTAAGCCATGAGCCGCCAGTTTCTCCAGGAGAATGCTGTAGGAGATGCTGTCAAAGGCTTTACTAAAGTCCAAGCAGACAATGTCCACAGCCTTTCCCTTATCCACTAGGCAGGTCACCTGGTCATAGAAGGAGATCAGGTTGGTCAAGCAGGACCTGCCTCTCATGAACCCATGCTGGCTGGGCCTGATCCCTTGGTTGTCCTGCACATGCCCTGTGAGTGCCCTCCAGATAAACCGCTCTGTAATCTTCCCTGGTACTGAGGTCAGGCTGACAGGCCTGTAGTTCCCGGGATCCTCATTCTGGCCCTTCTTGTAGATGGGTGTCACACTGGCAAGCCTCCAGGCTTCTGGGACCTCCCCTGTTAACCAGGACTGCTGATAAATGATGGAGAGTGGCTTGGCAAGCTCCTCCGCCAGCTCCCTTAGCACTCGTGGGTGGATCCCATCAGGCCCCATAGACTTGTGGGTGTCCAGGTGGCTTATCAGATCATTAACTGCTTCCTCCTGGATTATGGGTGGGTTATTGTGCTCTTCATCCCCGTCTTCCAGCTCAGGGGGCTGAATACCCTGCGGATACCTGGACTGGCTATTAAAGACTGAGGCAAAGAAGGCATTAAGTACCTCAGCCTTTTCCTCAACCTTGGAGACAATGTTCCCCCCCACATCCAATAAAGGATGGAGATTCTCCTTGGCTCTCTTTTTTTTTGTTAATATATTTGTAAAAACAGTTCCTGTGGTCCCAGAGATTTTGTGGTAGGTGCGGGGGTTAGAGGGAGTGGATTGGTACAACTTGATTAGGATTTTTAAGATTCTGGAGTTTGGGGGGCCTGGAGCACGCAGGGCTTGTAGCTTGTGGGTGCTTTCTTTAAGAGGGCAGGTTGTCACGTAGGGCATATGCCTTTAGCATTTTATCAGCTTTTTGCTGTTGTTGGCAGTAGTGTTTTAAAACGCTTTTCCTCAGCAACTCGAGATGTGGCTTGACATTTACTATCAAAGTTATTAATGCAGAAACAGTCCTAGGTAACTTTGTCCCTTGAAATTTAAAGATTAAGAAATACGAAATTATTTGAAGGTGAACAAAACCTGACTTCAAGACTAAGTTATTGTCTACAAGTAAATTACTTCAGGCATTTGGTAGTTATTTCCTGAAGTTACTCTCTCTGAACCCCAAAAGCTATTGAAAAGAATTGGTAGATGTGTGTGTAAGGAAATGGTCTCTCTAAAAACAAACAAACAAAACCACACTTTCCTGTTCTGCAGTGTCTTATTTCTCTAACTTAATCTCTAGAGGCCTGTGGAATTCTAGTTCTGCACATATTAGATTTAAGGCAAGGTCCCATTTAGGTTTAAGATAGTAAAATAGAGGAAGGGGAAAGAACAGGGAGAACCAGGGGTGAGAAGAAATCTTTACAGAACAGATTAGTAATACAGAGTTTAACAAGTTAATCTAAACAAGCTAAAAAAAACTGTCTGTGGAATGAGTTGAAAGATCTGTTTATTTTGAGTAAATGTCTTATGTTACAATCTACCATAGAGAGGAAAATTTATTTATTATTTAACATTAGATGTGTTAGGTCATAATTGTACTGTCATCACACATGTAGCTAACTGAATTTTCTCATTTGGTGAGGGCTTTCTGTTTTCCATTTCTGCTTTGGTGGTCATACATGATGTGTTGGTCTATCATTTTAGGTAGCTAATGGTTCCTGTCTGCAGTTTCACATTCTCAGACCTGTGTGTTTTCCCTTGAGGTTTTACAACGTCTTCAGTGCTAAAACTGTTATCTTTGAGACCAATATCAATGCCATTGTCATGCATCAATTAGCAAAAGGAGTGTTTCGCAGCTTTTTTTTTTTTTTTAAGCTTCTTTTCAGTTGGTGGTAAAAAGGCAGCTGTTTGTGTTACGGTGTGAAGACAGTCTGAAACTCAGAGGAAGGATTGTTGATTTATTAGGTAGCATCCAACACAGTACTTGCATTGTTTGTTCTAAAATCTGTATTGTGTTGCAGATTGGCATTTGTAAGTAGTATCAAAGTCAAGTTATTGGGTTTGTCCGTAAGAAAACTGTGTAATTTTTCAAAGCTTTTCTCATTTTGAATACAGTTCAAATGCACTTTAAGCAGTATTGCCATTAAATTACTAAATAGCCAAGTGTGATGTAAATGCCTCTCAAGAATTCTAGACATAGTAATTTTGGATTGTCAAAGTGGGAAAACAAAGTGCAATTTAAACATATGTAAGTATATAAAAACATATACATTCTTCTTAATTCTTCCTGATTGTATACCTCAGTAGTGTACACAATGTTTGGAGATGGAGGGGAAAAACCCTGCATTTCATATCAATGTCCTTACTGCAGCTATGTAATACACCATTACAAAGTCTGATTCTAATTGCTTAATGTGTTTATAGATACTAATATGTAATACCAAATACAAAATTGGAAATTGACTGTACTGTTTACCAGTTTGCTTTGGAGAATGTGAAGGACATAATGTTGCCTGACTGAAAAAGAAACTTTATATGATAGTCTCTCTGGTGTGGGAAAATGTTATGCAAGTTAAATATCTTTTGAGTTTTCCTTGTTGTTTAGTGTCAAATCAGGAATTTACAAAAACACTCTTATATTTTCCTGTTTCTTTCTAGTTGAGACTATTCAGTTTTTCATAATGAAACTATTCTAGTTTTCTAACAGCACCAACAAATGTTCTTCAGTCTCTCCTTAACCAGATAGTTTTGTCATGCTTTTCTGTGCTTTGAAGTATTACTTTTTTTTTTTACCTTACGCGCACAGACAGCTTTAACTGTTTGGATGGAATTTAGTTTTGTCTGTCGTTGAATTTTAGAGTATTTCAAGGGAAATGCTAATCCACTTGACCATCATCTGAATAATGAAAAAATTAGTACTTCTGAAAACACTTACATATTGGAAGTAATGTACAGTACTTGTTGAGGAACAAGCTAGTTTGAGTAATGCAAAATTAAGGAAAGAATGTGAATGAAGAAACGTTTTCACCCTTGTTTGTGCTACCAATGATTTCCAAGGCCACCAGCACTTTATTTGCCTGTGTATGCACACAGTTAAGTTCTTTTGGAAAGTAACTATAAAATGTTAGGGAGATGTGAAAATATTTGAAACATTGGACTGTAATAGTTGTTGGATGTTATTAATATGGTTGATATTCAAAATCCCTTTTTTCTATTCCGTATGGGTTTCAAGACAGAAGCATAGTAAGAGGGATGCTTTGGTCAAGTTACGGGAGTCAGTGGGACTGAGATTAATGAATGAGTAGTTAGTTATTCCATTCCCCTAAAAGTTTTCCTGTGGTAACTTCTGAAAAAGTGACTGCTGCTCTGAAAACCTACTGGCACTTGGGCTAAGCTGCTTTATTGCCTGTACTGATGCACTCATACTTTGAGCTTCTTGCCGTAATCAGGGTATGTATTATACTAGTAAAGGAAGCCCAACAGAAAACTCTCTCAATTCTTACTGTAGCTGTAAAACAAGTAGTAGTCTCTCTGTTAACTCATAACTTCATGAAAAAGTTTTTAGAAAATGGTACATGTAGAATTTTAATTGCATCTTGATTTACTGATCATCTTGGGAACATTATGAAATAGCTATCTGTCCAACATAGAGAGACAGCTGCACTTTGGGAGAACTTCAGATTCTGAACAGTTTGTCTCTTTCAAACCTTCTCTAACAACCTTCTCTAACAAAACATATACTTGAATACAAGAAATACAACAAATAAGTGACTAGACAATCTATTCATATGAGGGTCCTGTGACACTTTAGGTAGAAACTAGTGAGTAAGGGTATGCCTGCAATTACAGGACAAGATCAAAAACGGTAATGCTGTTTTGAAAGGTACATGCTTGGGTTTTATAGATAAAGGCAAAGCATTTTTTACTTTAAAACTGAAAATTTGTTTTGTAATAGCTATTTTTACTGTAGTAATGTAACAAAAATCTTCGTTGTGATACTTCAGTTTTAATACTATATTCAGTGTGTTGCATACAAAAATGTTTTCTGTTTTGCAATAGCAGCTGTAAGTTATTCTTCAAGTTAGTATTTGTTTGATGATGCCCTGCCAAAAAGAACTATATAATCAATGATTTCTGAGGGGAATTACTATAATATAATATTGTTTGTAAGATTTTTTAGAAATCCCTTTTCTAACCTCTAAAAATTTGCTGTATTAAAATAGGTTTCCTCCATTTTTCGATGACAATCCATTTGGTATATATCAGAAGATTCTTGCTGGCAAAATAGATTTCCCGAGGCATTTGGATTTATATGTAAAGTAAGTCCATGACTCCAAACCCTGTCTTTTATATTCTAAACACCTCCTGAGCACTGTTCCTAAAGGATTTTCATGGAAGACCAGATACCAGATTCTGATTTTCTAAAACGCTGTGCTAGAAAATATTTTAGACTACCTTTACTCTTGCAGTCCAAGTAAAATTATGTGTTTGGTAGACTTCCATCTGGAGATAACAGTTGTAAGATAGTATCTGCATCTCTTACTTTTCTGCATATTTTGGAATATTAAATGCTTTTCCACCTTGTGCAAATCTCATTGGTGCCAGGTTGGTGGGGGGAAGGAATAAAAAAGGAGAAATATGAGGAGATAATTTAATATGAATAAAAATTAAGAGATCAGGAAGTAAACATTAAACTGTTCCTTTGTAGGCATATGTACCAGTTAAGTCATTCTGAACATAACTATTTGAATGAATTTTCTGATAATTCAGAAGTTACAGGGTAAAATAGACATCCACTTCTGATAGCAGGGCCCCAGTTCAATATGCAGTCTTATATATACACGTGTGTGGGTTTTATTCATAGTATTTTGCAATCATTACACGTATATTGAAGATTAAACGCTTTTTTTCCTATTTAAAAATTCTGTAATTGAAGTAATTGTTAGCAAACATTAGAACAGAGGAAGTGTAATTTTAAACATGAGGTTTCTCCTCAGAGGCAGAGATGATTGAGTGAGAACAGGAAGTTATTCTTACATTCCCAGGTTAATCATTCAAAGTGTTTTGAAGAACTATCTTAGAGATGGCACTTTCTTACTGCCACCACTAGATAAATAGATAAAATGTTGTATAGCAAATCTAATGAAATCTGTCCAACTTTCTCTGAACATTTATGAATTCTTTTGCGAAAATAATCATTTGGGGAGGATTTTTTTTAAGCCTCCATTGAATCATCAGGGGCACTGAATCAAGCATGTCTACATCACCTTAGACTGATTAGTGTCTAATATTTGTGTCTGTTCTTAACAGAGTTTTCCCTTAATATCTCAATGCCGTTTCCACTTTAGTGTGGTCTCATTGTCTGGTCTTCCTAACCCAGTCTGTCTTAGAAAGGAAAGAGTTTCTCACATAGTATTGTGTGCACTAAAGTATAAGAGTGTGACCGGAAGATGAACAGTGCAAATTAGGTTTTTATCACTAGCAACCTGTCTAACACGGTGAAAACATTTAAAAGTAGAGATGCTGTTAGCTACTGTTTGTGCTTGACATTCACAGAACCAACACTGATTTCTACTATCCAGAAGACGCTTGATGCTGTGACGTTTCCTAGTTATGGTAGTAAGCATGCATATGCAGGTTTTGCCCTTCAGCCTAGATGTGACTGTCAGTGAATTGTAGGGTACATTAATCAACACAGTTGTCGATACACTTCTTTCCCAGCTTTTCTTATCCAGATGTTCTTTCAGTGTGTGCTTGGCAGCTCATTCCCATTACATTCCTGCCTTTAAAGGGGTTTCATGGGATTCTAGCTTGGGCTTTCCTCCTTTCGCACCTTGGTTTTGGGTGATCCCATTCATTTGTGTGGCTTCACCTGCTTTCTGCAGTGATTTGTTAGCATAATGTATCTCTTGTTCCATCAACCCCTCTTCCTTTTCTTAAACTACGGTATGCAGAACTGGATAGTCTTTGACATCTCTGTGCCATTATCTTAAAGCAAGTGCCAAGATCGTTTTGTCATAAGAAGATGGTCTGCTTCTTACCTTATTTATATCCCATTTGCTTTCTCTCTCTTCTTCCTTATCAGTTGGTATCTCAGCAAACATGAAGACTATCTTGGGTCCTGTCACATCCAGGCTATGCCTGAAGTATTAGTGCTATGCAGTGTTTATAACAATTGAACTTTAACTCTCTGCTCTTAGGCAGAAAAACTAGTTTCCTTTTTGAACTCTGAGAAAACTTTTTGACATAGATGTGCTACATAACTTTACTAGTTGATATTTTTCTACCCGCCTAACCCCTATCACCCTTCTGCACTTTTTACTTTTTGAATTTGTGCCACTTTTGCTTTCCTTCCTGCTGCATGATGTTCACTGTTTCTTACTGTGCTGTGTAACTGCTGTGTGTCTTGTATAAGTGCTGTTCCTTCTGGCCTGAACTAGTATCTCTTCACATTGCTCTCTACTGTGTCCCTTTTGCTAGCCACCTTGCAATCTGATGAGATGTTTTCTCCCAAGTCCTTTCTCCTGTATACATAAAGTCCTTGACACGTGACCATTCGTTCAGATCTCTTCTGACAATCCACTTCTGCCATGATGATGATAATAAATCAACCAACCAGAAATTCCAAAATAAGAATGTCAGCTGAGTTTTGTGTTACTTAATTTCTGATAAAATATAAGTATTAATTATGCCCGCCTATTTCTTTGGCCACTAATGAGTTTATAAGTTATTTCTTTATATTTTTCTTTTTTTGCTTTTGTAAACTTTTCTTTGCAAAGACAGTTTTGGAAAATACCAAGCAAAACATCAGTGCTACAGCAATTTTAATTATTATTGGTCTGTAAAGACCTTGATGTAGAATTTAATTTCCCCAAATACATACAGCAACATATCTATTGGATTGACTTTAACATGATCATTTCTAAATTATTCTTTAGAAACTATGTAGTAAAGAAGCACTAAACTATGCACTACTTGATTCAATTTAAAGGATATTTGTTCTATTGAATGCAGCAAATGTCTTCATCTTTAGCGAGAACACAGTATTGCTGAGAAAGCTCATCCCTTAACTGTGCTATTCTAAGATGAATTTTTGAAGCAAGCCAAGAATGCTCCATTGAACGTATTCTGGTTATAAACTCCATGATTTATCTTTGGCCATATAGGCCGTGAGTCTAGTTCTGTGTTTCTAGATTTCTTTTCTGCTATTTTAAAGTCTGGTTATAGACCAGAAGGTGACTGTAAAAGGAGTCAGTCGCATAACTTAGTCTAATCCAAACCTTTATTGGCTGGAATGATCATGAGGGTTTTAAAAATTGCTTTCTACCTTGACTTTTTTATTTTCCTTTTATCTGGCAATTGAATATTTTTCCAATTGAATTTTAGAACTACGTTCCTGCTAAATACAACAGCTTTTCAAACAGTCTAGCACATTCACTCTCAGTTCATATATTCTTTGTGCATACGCTTTTGTGATTTCAAGGATAGGAGACAGAATACTGTTTTTTGTTTTGGGATAGTAGGTATTATAGCTAGGGATGGAGAGAGGCAGGTGTGTAATTACAGAATCACAGAATCACTAGGTTGGAAAGGACCTTCAAGATCATCAAGTCCAACCATTAATCCAGTGCCACCATGTCCCCTAAACCAGTTGTTGGGTTTTTTTTAAACTTTCTGCAAAGTTAAAAATTGGGATTAATCATACCCTGTAGATCCCCAGGATTTCATGCAGTATTGCATCTCTCAGGTCTGTTTGAGGCTGTAGGAACAAGAAGGGTGGCTAAACTTTTGTTCTTTCCTGTCACTGGTACTTTATGCAATGAGACCAGAATGCTATTATTCTATAAATAAATAGCAAAATAATCCTTGAGATAGAAAATAACTGCTTATAGAAATGTGAAGCCAGATTTTTCTCTCAACTTGTAAGTAATCAAACTAACTCAATAAATTTTGATACTGGCTTTGATTTATGTTGGAGTTTTTTGATGCTTAATATTTAAAGTACTTTGCTATTGAAGTCCTTTTATGTCTCCAAACTTACATTCATCTTTTAAAATGTTGACTTAGCTTTATGTAGAACTGTTCAATGAACCAGAATATCAAGGGAGGCTTTTCATTTTCAACGAAATTAAAGTTTATAGATGTTAACTAGTTTTAGGCAGGTGGCTAGCTCTTCTGTGTTTTCTCTCAATCTTTAGCTGCCACAGAATTTAAATGTCAATGTATAAAGTTGCGAGTGCAACTTTATCTGTATTTTATCTGTATTTTATTTGTATAAAATATATTTTATTTGTATTTATTTGTATATAAAATATATATTTTATTTGTATTCAATTTTATCTGTATTTTTAAAATAATATATTAGAGTTGTGTTCTGCCAAATAGGTTTGAGACCCATTTTGTGATTTGGAATGCCCAGCAAAATACAAAAATACAAAGAAAGATATGTCGCTGCTTGTTCTGGGGGCAGGGGAAGAGAATGAGAAAGTTTTTCTCCTTTGTTTCTTGAAAGAATCTAAAAGGAACTTGCAAGAATTCTGCAAGGTCCTTTTAGAACAGGTTATTCCTTTTTATCATTCACTGTTAAACGTCGTAAAATATGAAGGAAATGAATGGGTTAATTCTACATGATTTTAGCTAGTCAAAGGGAAGTATGGTCATATTCTGTAATATTTGTATGACAGTCAAATATAGATTTCTTTTGATTAACAGAGAACATGTTTTCTTTATTGCAGAGACCTTATTAAGAAGCTGCTTGTGGTTGACAGGACAAGACGATTGGGGAATATGAAGGTTAGTATAAAAAGTTAGGTGTAATGCAGAACATAGCACAAGGCTGAAAGAATTCTATACAAAAGATGTAGAACAGCTCTTCTATGGCTTTTGTTTTTAAAAGCATGAAATTGGGATCTGTTTTTCCCATACATTACTTTGGTTGTGCAATCCTAAATGCAAAGTTTACTGTGTATTGCTGGAAATCATACTCCTATTGTCTGGATTAATGCTATCCTTCATAATAGTTTCTCACTCCCCTCACATCCCCTCCTCCCACCTTGCCCCAGAAAAAAAAAAAAAAAAGAGAGAAACCCTGCCTCTTTACTGATTAATTTGAAGACTTATATTAGACCAGACACATGGTGCTGAGCCCTGTAGGACAGGGTGCCAGCTGATTTGTTTTTTTTTCTTTGGCGTTTTTTAAACCCAGAAGGAGCACTAATCAAATTTGAAGCTTAAAATTATTTTAAAGAATATAAGGGTTGTTGTAGTACCGTGATGCTTGGTCATTGTCCTGATAGCGGTGTGGGTAACTGCTTTCCAGTTGAAGGAAAAAAGCCTCCTCTTCCCTTCTGGGGCTGACTAAGCACAGTCAAATAGTCTTCCACCAAGAAGAATTATTCATCCTATTCTGAAGAGATTTGTGAAGGCAACAGCTTACTAGTCAAAAATATGTTCAAGTTTCTCAGGTAGCATTCCAGCCTACCTCAGAAATACGTCTATATCTGATATGTCACAGGCGAACACAAAGCAACCCTGTGAATTCTGTGCCATGTCCTGGTGTGGTACTACTTGTAATGCCAAGAAGATGACAGCTGTATTACAAGCTTATTTGATTCTGCAACTGTGCAGTAGCTGTGGTTGGTAGTGCAGTGAGAAGTTGTCTGCATGTGAACTAACTCAGGTGCTTTAACAGGCTAGCCAAAGCACCACGCAGAACTCATTGTAAGTTAATTTACCTTTCTGCCAGAGTAAATTAATCCTGTATTCATGGAATTGTCATTGTTTTTACAGTGTTGCAGATACCTAAATTAGCTTGTGTAATCTTTTAGTTCTTTAGAGACAGCTAAAATTTCCATTTCCCTGGGCAGGTGAGGTTAGAGGTTTGCTTTTTTTGCGCAAAGCACAATTTATGTTACACATAGGTGAAAGGTGAAGAAGGTAAAAGATGCACAATCATCCGGATTCCTTGAACATATTTATATAAGTATAGATGCTAGCACCTGCTGTCCAAAGTTCCTTTTCATAGCCTTTTATGGCACAAACTTAGATGATAAGAAAAGCTAGGAAATAAATGTTTTCCTTATCCTTCAGATTGCTTTGCAATGTTTTTTGGTGGGGACAGCAGGAAGATTAAAAAGGAAACTTTCACAAGCTGGAAATTTAGGTGGTTATTGACTAGTGAAAACTTTTATATCTTTTGACAGTTTTGGAAGAAAACAAAAACAAAACAAAAAGCAAACCTTAGTTTATTCAAAATATTTTGTGAAATGTGTTTGGCTGGCTTTCGGGTTTTTTTAGTCTGTGGTT